GAGAGATAACAATGGAAATGGAGTGGATGAGCAGCATAGAAAGGAGGGTGAGTTCCCCGGATAGCAGAGGATGAGATGCAGTCACACAATGGCTGCCGCGGTGGAAGAAGGAAGAAGGAGATCACACTGATAAAAGGGCCGTCACGACTCTGCCCGGAGCTCAGCTGTATGGTGGAGGAAGTGATGTCCATGGAGGGGGGGGTCGGGGGGGCGCTCACCTGAAGGACGAAGGAACTCCTGCGCTGAACCCAGGATGACGTTACAGTCTCGGTCAGTACAGAGGAAGCAGCCAATCAGGGAACGTCCATCCGTCATCTCGATCCGCATGTTTCTGTTCAGAAGAGACTCCAGCTTCTGGCGGGCGCTGTCCCCCGGCTCCACGTCCGAGTCCTGCTGATACACAGACATAACAAATGTATTGTTTAATAACACGTGTCCCCAGACACGGCACACACGGCTACAATGAACACGCTTATTATCACATACACCGCTACAATAAATCGGTGAGTCAGGTTCCTGCCGGGAAAAAGTCTCTGCTGTAGAATAAGAACATTACAGTTTACCATTGATCATGTTACAACAGGCTAAGAACCAGCCTTCGGGATCAAAGATAGGGATGCTCGGCCACACTAAAGTAGACATGATCAGTCCTAACTGAGAACTTCATACCAACTGTGAAGCATGGTGGTGGTAATCTCCCCAGGCTGACCCTCTTCTATTATGATACTGGCCCCATTGACTCTGATGTATTAGTATAATAACACCCCCACTGTCAACAATCTCAGCCCCCTCTATAGGATTTCTCAGCCTCCTCTAAGTGACAACAATGTCAGTCCTGTACTCACCCCAGGAGGGGGGCTGCAGCCATTCTCCTCCAGCACTGCAGCCATGTCCAGCTCTCTCCGCACTGCACTCTGGGAGACACACAGCACAGCCACCATCTGCCGGAGACACACCCCTCAAAGCCGCTTCCAGCCAATAGGACGTGCTGTAAAGTCACTACGCCGGACGTGACGTCAGATCAGAGCCGGTGGAACGCGGAAGACAGAGCGGAAGTGACAAATGAGGGCGGAAGAGAGGAAGACAGGGCGGAAGTGGCCATGGGAGAGTGGAAGTAAGGCTCTGCGCGTCCCGTTGCCGGGGTAACCAAGAAGCCTCCTGCCATGTCTCCGGCCAGAGCTCCGTCATTACCACTGGCCTCCCAGTACCGAGGTGACCCAGAAAGCGCAGCTGTCTTCTCCCCGCTTTCCTTTTTAAAGTCCAAATCCAACCACATTTGTGTTCTGTCAGTTTTAGGAGGAAGGGTTCAAATATCTGGTTTTCATCTGCGACCCCATGGGGGGGGGATTTTCCCTCACTTCCTGTCTATGAGAGAACCTTAGAATGTACGATGAATAATAAGAACACAAAATGCAACATGACCCGTTGTAGGGGGGGTATAGTAAGGTCAGGGTATCACCAGTCTAGTGAAACATAGAATAAGGAAGGACAATACATAACATAGAAATAGGTAAAAAGAACAAACAGTGTAATGAAGAGCTAAACTAGGAAGGAAGGAAGAAAATGAGAAAAGTTCCTCTGGTGGATCAGGAATCTACAACGCTCAGGCTAAGGCCTCATTCACACGAGAAACGGCCGGCACATACAGCTCCGTGCGGCGTGCACGGCCGCATCGGGCAGCTCCCGGGAAGGACAGGTGCTGCGTGTGATTAGTACGCAGCCCCCGTCCTTCTCTATGGGAGTACGCGGCCACGCGCCACCCTACGCTCAACCCCAAGTGCAGGTCCGTACGGATGCAGGTGTCTCGGCTCGGACGCAGACAGGATCTATCCTGTCAGCGTACGAGTACGGACACCCGCGCGGACGTGTAGGTGTAACCCGTATGGCTGCGTACTCCCATAGAGAAGGACGGGGGCTGCGTACTAATCACCCGCAGCACCTGTCCTTCCCGGGAGCTGCCCGATACGGCCGCACTTGCAGCACGGAGCTGTACGTGCCGGCTGTCTCCCATGTGACTGAGGCCTTAAAGAGCGTAACAGTATTTGTAAGAAAACCTGTATGTGTTGTCTCTTCGTATCTGTTCCTTTGTCAGTCTATGAGTCAGTCACATTCTATCCGTCCTTCTGTATAAGAGCTGGACCATGACCCCATGTCTGTCTGTGAGCCGGGATTTACATTTCCATCTTGTGTCTCCTGTTAGGTGACATTTTGTTGAAGCCAATTATTGAAGCTGCCGGGAAGGATATCAGTCACTGGTTCAACCCCAAGACTGGAGATGTGAGTATAGACTAGAGATCTCCTCCTTATTTAAACTGTCTGATCATGAAGATGATATTGTGTGTGTGTGTGTGTGTATATATATGTGTGTGTGTGTGTGTATATATATATGTGTGTGTGTGTGTGTATATATATATGTGTGTGTGTGTGTGTATATATATATGTGTGTGTGTGTGTGTATATATATATGTGTGTGTGTGTGTGTATATATATATGTGTGTGTGTGTGTGTATATATATATGTGTGTGTGTGTGTGTATATATATATGTGTGTGTGTGTGTGTATATATATATGTGTGTGTGTGTGTGTATATATATATGTGTGTGTGTGTGTGTATATATATATGTGTGTGTGTGTGTGTATATATATATGTGTGTGTGTGTGTGTATATATATATGTGTGTGTGTGTGTGTATATATATATGTGTGTGTGTGTGTGTATATATATATGTGTGTGTGTGTGTGTATATATATATGTGTGTGTGTGTGTGTATATATATATGTGTGTGTGTGTGTGTATATATATATGTGTGTGTGTGTGTGTATATATATATGTGTGTGTGTGTGTGTGTATATATATATATATGTATATGTATGTGTGTGTGTGTGTGTGTATATATATTTCTTTGCTGTTTGCAGCCATTTTATTTTGTCGCTGTGTTCACAGATCAAGACTTTTATCAATCCGCTAACTGGCTGTTTGAGATACTGTACACCGCAGGGGCGCTTTCTTCATATATCCCCTTCCTACCCCTGCTCAGACTGGGACACAGACTTCGGGCGCCCCTGGTGGCGGGATTCATCCTATGAGATCGGCATCTTGTCTGCCAAAACCCGTTTCATACGTATCATTAACACGCTGACATCCCAGGAGCAGACCCTGGAGGTAAGGGACTCTACGTGGTCTTCTCTTCTTGCAGGGTGATACAGACAGAAGGGAGCTATGAGTCTGTCCTCCTCCTGCAGGGTGATACAGACAGAAGGGAGCTATGAGTCTGTCCTCCTCCTGCAGGGTGATACAGACAGAAGGGAGCTATGAGTCTGTCCTCCTCCTGCAGGGTAACACAGACAGAAGGGAGCTATGAGTCTGTCCTCCTCCTGCAGGGTAACACAGAGGGTGCGGTGGGAAAGGAAGTTCATAGTGTCGCCCTTATCTCTTTTAGGTCTGTTCAGAGGAAACTATATGGGAGATTCTCCGCCGATATTTGCCATACAATGCCCATGCTGCCAGTTACACGTGGAAGTACTGCGGCGTTCCGCTGAACATGGACCTGACACTAGAGGAAAATGGTGTGAAGGATGAAGATGATGACTTTGAGGAGCTGAAGATGGATTCAGACCTGTATACAGCCAGCATACACTTATATTTCAATGATGACTTGACTGAACTCTGAATAAGAAGACATCGACGCCTCTACTACGTCTCCTGATACATAGTGCCAGTTTCGTATGTTCTTAGGCCAAGTCATTTGTTGTTCGTTCCATTAATTCATGTGCAGAGTAGCCAATCAAAATGCAGATCCTATGTTGCCAGAAACCAATCACAGTGCAGGCATCCCTCGACATAACAGCCAATCACAAAGCCAGATATAATCCTGTTCTTTAGGGGTTTTCTACGACGATTGAACATTTCTTCTAATAAGTTAATAGATTGTTTCTAGAGACGAGTAAAAGCGCGGCTCCAGCTTCTACAACCCCCAGACTTGAAATACTTTCTTGTATCTACCTGTCATGCCAAGTACATATACCTAACTCCAAGAGAACTTGAACTGATCACATGACAAGCAGGCTCCTCCTACTATTCTCCACCAGTGGTTGGTCCTCATTGTGGTCAAGTGTGAGCGCTGTTCTCCTCAGCGTTCTTCTGGACCTATTTAAGGGGTGTGTCCATGACAGCCTGGACTCACAGGAAGTGGCTTGAATGACGCTGGCCATCATCATTCATCCTGGATAAGGACCAGTGCCAAAAGAGTACCCGGAGGGCAGTGCCGGAGCGCAGGAAGGGTGAGTCAGGGCTGAGATAAAGTCGTTTATCACCCAAGGCGCAAAGGCCATAGTGTGTCCTTCCTCATGGGCTGTGAACTACTTCAGCAGTATAGGTTGCAGGCGCTGCCCTTTTTATACCCACTTCCTGCTGAGGCACCAAAGGTGGGCCAGGGCGTAAGGTGAGTAATACGTAAAATAAACCTTTTTTTGTATGCACAGGAGAGTAAGGGATCTTAAAAAATGTTCAGAACTGGAGTAGGACTTTAAATATTTTCTAATTGCTCATAATTTTTTTTTTTATGATTTACAGCCATAAGGTTTATGTGAGAGAACTGGGCCCTCATCTGAAATCATCCATGGAGGAATGCGGGGGTGGGGTTCATTATAATCAGCTGGTGGACTTCCTGTGTTGTAATGAAGAGAGGTGTAGTGTCGGCATCCCTTTAGTAGTAATTAACCCTTAGGCCCCATTCACACTGAGCGACATGAAAATCGCGCGATATTGCGCGACGAGCGATATTGAGCGACTTTTTCCTATTGGGCTGTATGCAATCAGGAGCAAAATCGCTCGAAAAAAGGGTCATGTAGGAGCGACAAGCTACAGCGACGAGCTACAAGCGATATTGAGCGACGAGATGTGAACAGCTCCAATGGATTGGAGAAGCTACATAGAGCGATATCGCGTGGAAATATGAGCGATAGCGCTGCAAAAATCGCTCAGTGTGAATGGGGCCTAAGGGAGAATCTCACCAAAAATTACATTCCTATTGCAAGGGTCGCCAAAAATTGTATTTGTGTCTTAGCGCAGACTTCTGGGAAAATAATTCAGTGACATTTCTGGGGGCTGTTCAGTTCACCAACTGTGTACGGAACGCCTCCAGATCACTATATTGCATTCATTTATTTTTTTTCTTCAACAGATTTAGAACCTTTTCCTTTTTTTAAAGATTTTTTTCATTTTTATATGTTTAAAGTGGAGTTACCCTTTAAGTACCTCACAGCTCATATAGGGAGAGACTCTTTTTTTTGCCTTGGGTGCTAAAGGAACTTGTGATGAGTTTGAAGTATTCAGAAGGCAGTTTTGGGGGCCCGCTTTTCAGTTCTATTGGTAGTTTTATACACTGAACATATGTAACGGGTTCATCTTCAAACATTCGCTCCCCTGCCTTCCCTTTGCTCTACACCTGTTACATTGGACTGGGCAGCCTGCTGTACCAGACTACACCTGTAGATGGCACCGGAGTCCAAATCTAAAATCGGGATCCTGGGAATCTCTACAACATGTATGGCAACACGTAGCCCTCTCGTTCCTCTGTGGCCCTCAATTGGTTAAGTATTGGAAGTGAATGAGGCCCCCGGGTTTTCTGGAATTGACTCCACTTCCTGACATCATCATTTTCTTGCAGAATACTTGAACAATGGTTTACAT